CTTCCTTCCTTCCTTCCTTCCTTCCTTCCTTCCTTCCTTCCTTCCTTCCTTCCTTCCTTTGTCTTTGTCTTTGTCTTTGTCTTTGTCTTTGTCTTTGTCTTTGTCTTTCAGAACATTATATAATCCATAGGAGAAATTTTAATCTGGTGCCTATTGCTTCTATTCAGAATCATTTGTTAATCCTTCTCCTCCTCCTGAAAATTGTTTTCTTGTCCTTTATCTCTCATAGTAAGGTATCACAGGAAAACTCTGTGTCTATGTCTACCCCATTTAGTGTTAGGCCATAAATCTGTTTTCTTGACATTCTCTTGACATATCTTTTTTTTTTTTTAATCTATCTGCTATTAATATGGTGACCCAAGAAGCACCAGTTTTCTATCTCCCCAATTTTTTCTTTGGACAAAAATATACAGAAATTCACAAAATAAAGAAAAGACTGGGGGGGGGGGGGAACCTGAAGCAATTTTAATAGGAAGCGTTCTACATTCTATTGTCTAGTCCCTAGTGACACTGTATTTCTGGAAATTGGAGCTAGCAAGGACCAAGGATCAATGGTACTGCAGCAGTAAAGGTGTTAGTTTAATGAATCCCAGGTTCTAGTCCACCAACTTCCATGGAAGCTCACTGGGTGTCTTGGGTCAGTCATTTTCCCTGATTCCAATCTACCTCACAGGGTTGTTGCTTTTGAAAGAATAGGAGGGCGCACTATGTATGCCACTTATAAAAAGCAGGATAGAAATCAAATAAATATAATATTTTATTTCTTCCATGATAGAGACTTAGACTCTTTGAAGATAGGTGGGATCTCAAAGTTAGTAAATTAATAAATAAATCTGGAAGAAGTACTTTGTAACTTTTTGTCATGGTGACCTCAAACCCAGATGAGCGACAATGAGCCACCTGCTCCAGACTTACCCAATGAACCACCACCTAAGGACCTGCAGGCTGTTGAGGCAAGGCCATCCAATAATCAACAGGAGCAGCTGCCATCAATCTCCAAAGATGAGGAGTCTGAGTTACCCCCACCCCACAATGCAAGGATTCTCCTCACAGAGAAGAGAACAGAGCAATGGTGTTCTACAAGGTTGCTGGAAAGAAAGGATCCATGTCCTTCCTGTAATGAGCAGTACCAGCACTGGGTCTCCTTAAGCAGAGCAGCAAACTAAAGCCACTCCATTGGCAACAACCATTTGCTAACCCAGATGTTGTGTGCCTTGAATTCTGACTTTCAATCCCATGACTTTACCTTTGAACCCCGGACTGGCTGGTGAACTTTTGGTGTCCCTTTGACCCTTGGATTTCACTTCGACTACTCTTGTACCTGCTGCTTTGGACTTGGAACTCAAATAAGGCAAGTTTGCTTGACTTTTGGGACTTCTTTCCTGTTCTGTGCGCACGTGCATTGCGCTCACACTCTCCCTGCTGCTTAGGAACTTGTTTATAAGACCAACACTAAAGCTTGCAACCATTTCTCTCCTGTGTTTGTGTATGTTGGGCCTGGGACAGGACACTTCTCTAAGTGTGAATGCAACATCTAGGAGTCATATCTCTCAGAGGAAATATCTGCTCCACAAACTATAAAAATTAGAGCTGTGTAAAACTCTGGATGTGATGCTTCCAAAGAATTCATGTGAAACACCCCTTTGAAGCCTTGTGAAGCAATCTAACTTCCACAACTTCTAAAAAAATAATAATTCATGGGTATACAAAGAGGAAAATGGGGAGACTGCAAATGACCAAGTGTGTTGAAATATTGCAATGCATTGCATGTGACATTGGGATACAAGTAAAAAAGGCTCCGTTTTCATACCGATGTCATGTCAACCATTTTGCCATTTTTCATACCACCATAATAACTCTTAAGTATTGATAATCATAATAGGAGTAGTGGTGGTGGCAGAAGTAATTTTATTTAGGCTCTAAGGATATAGATATCTGTACTGTATCTCAATATACAACAATATCAGCAGTGAAAATAAGATAGCAATCAGTGTAAGACATTTTCTAATCAAATATATTAATCAATAGAAAACATTTGTAATACTAGTGCAACAACAGTACGAACCAATAATGAACAATTTTTCCATGCTGGTAGCCCTCCTCTGAATTTTTTCATATTATTACAATCCTTTTTGAACCACGTAGCAGTACTCCAAATGGAGTCTAACTAAGGAAGAATAAAGGACAAACAGCTACTTCTGGATTCTATGATGCTGTTAATGCACCCCAAGTTATTAATTCATTTGAGAAATGAGGGGTGGTTGGAATTTCCTTGTTTGTGTATTTCCCTAACACATTAGTATTTCCACATTTGGTTATGTGTTTTTGTGATGCCCTTAATGTTTATGCTTCCTGGCCTTGATCAAATAATAATAACAACCAGAAAATCATTCTTTGCATGTCTGTTATTATATTCAGCTGCCCTTTTCTTGTGAAACTGAATGCTTTAATTGATGTTAATATATTTGCATGTGTCCAGATTAACTAAATGCCTTGATCCCTTTAATTAGTCAGTGTTTCCAATGAACAAAGAAGTATTATTCAGAGTTTTTTTTAATTATTGTTATTATTTTCTCTTTTATATCCCATTTTCCATTCAAGAGTTCTATGCAGGTTCCATAATGTTCCTTCCTGTTTCCCCACAACAATCACCCTGTAGGTATTTTATATTTATTTTCAAATTAATAGCCACAGGTAGGTGATTATTACAATAAATAAAAAAGATCAAAACATCATGCAAAGAATAAAATAATCCTTTAACCGTGCCCCCACCTACCTTTCTCTAGTTGACAGAACACTCTTCTAAATCAGAGTCCCCTTCATGAAAAAATGGGAAGGAAATTTTGGATTCAAAGTCTATTTTATTCTTTTCTAACATACAAACACTTTGTGAAGTGCTCCTATATTCTGAGGACACTGCATCTCTGGAAATCAGAACTAGCAAGGACCATAAAATCAATGGTCTTAAAGTCATAACCATTAGAAGGGCTGTGCACATTTTAAAATATGGTGTCCCCCTGTGATGCCAAGGATTCCCCTACTTCTTTTGAGCATAACAGCTGCAACACAGGTAGTTTTCATCTAATATGTATTATTATATTATGATTTTATATTACTACTGATCCATTATGATTATGATGGTTATTGTACAGAACAATGTGAAATCACAGCTGCCAGTTCTTTAGCTGGTGTTGGCCATCATTTGCATCGAGTTCTTTCCAAGAACCTAGGATATCATTATGTATTGGCATAGTATATGTGCAGATCCAAACAGTGTGGCCCTTTGTAATTGACAGATGGAAATTCTTCAATGAGCAGATTTTCTTAGTGTTGTCCAAGGATTTTTGGTATGGCACACAGTGTGCCAATATTATTATTGTTGTTGGTCGCACAGTCAGCCAGATGTTTAGACTGGATTTGGCATTTTTATCCACCTATCGAGTCCTTCCTAAGGACCTGGGATAGGCAGATGTTGTCTGATGTTTCACCTTGTACTTCTGGGCACTCCAGGAAGGTTGCAGTTCTGGAATATGACAGCACTGGACGATAATGGGTTCCTGGTAGCTTCACGTTTGATTCTTCTCAAATCTTGGGCAGTTAATTTAAGTCTTTTTTTCTCAACACATTTCTTGCAACCCTGTTGACTATTTGCAACAAAAGTTTGATGGTTATGTGGTTACGCCCCAATATCTTAGCAATTTCAAGAGTGCTGCTTCCCTCTGAAAGACTTTTTACAGTTTTTGACATTTCAGAGTCAGGTAAATCTCTTTTTTGACCCATTTTGCCTGAGGAAAAGAAGCTGCCTAATAATTATGCACACCTTGATATA